GCACTTGTGCACACATGTTAAACCCAAGACCAACCTCATTCTAAATGGAGAAAAATTGAAAGCACTCCCTCTGAAAACTGGAACAAGGCAAGGATGCTCTCTTTCACCACCTCTATTCAACACAGTCCTTGAAATTCTAGCCACAGCAATTAGGCAAAGAAAGAAATTAAAGGGATAGAATAGGAAAAGAAGAACTCAAACAATTTGCTGGTGACATGATTCTATATTTAGAAGACCCAAAAAACTTTCACCATAATACTTCTAGAACTATAAATGAATTCAGCAAAGTAGCAGGATACAAAATTAACACCTATAAATCAACTATAAATGAATTCAGCAAAGTAGCAGGTTACAAAATTAACACCTATAAATCAACTACGTTTCTACACATCAATGATGAATCAACTGAAAAGAGAAATTAGGAAACTTTCCCACTCAAAATATCCTCAAAAACAAACAAAAAATCTTGGAAATCAATCTATCCTCTTTTTAAAAAAGTTTCTTAAAAAATTGAGAAAGGATCTCACTGAGTTGCTGAGGATATTGCCGTGTTGCTGAGGTTAGCCTCACATTTGTGATCCTCCTGAATCCTTTGGGATTTTAGTTCTATGCAACTGTGTCTAGCTTATGAAGTTTTAAAGAGTAATAACTATGATCACTAGTCTCTGAAGTTCCTTACAATTCATACCCATTAGGTGTCTGGTTTAAACACACCCAGTTTCTATTATTCTCAAAAGTATTACTTTGAGCTTTCTGCCTAAATTAGGTAAGGAGTTAGTCTTAGTTTAGTGTTACTCAATTTGTGGGATAAGGACCAAAAACTCATCTGAAAATCATTATTGCTGGTCTGTGAACTACTTATTATAGGTGGTTAAAAAGAAGTAATTCATTGAGAAAAAACAAGAATTTTTTTACTGCCGTTCCATAGGATAATTTTATATATGTTTAATAAAATTTTTGGATATTACTTTGTAAAGTATATGAAAAACAAAATAAATGCAAAGGTATTGATCCATTTTGGAAACTCAGAAAAATGGGAATGGAACCACCATTTGACCCAGCTATCCCACTCCTTGGTTTATACCCAAAGGACTTAAAATCATACTACAGTGACACAGCCACATCAATGTTTGTAGCAGCTCAATTCATAACAGCTAGACTATGAAACCAACCTAGGTGTCCCTCAATAGATGAATGGATAAAGAAAATGTGGTATATATACTCAATGTAATATTACTTTAAAGAAGAATAAAATTATGGAATTTGCCAGTAAATGGTTGGAGTTGGAGAATATCATGCTAAGCAAAACAAGTCAATCCCACAAAACCAAAGGCTGAATGTTTAATATGTGGATGCTAATTCACAATGAGGCAGGGGGAACTAGGGAAGAACAGCGTTACCTTAGATTAGGTAGAGGGAGAGGATGTGGGGATAGAAAAGATAGAATGAAACAAGACTGGTTCTCCTCCACAGATTTTGTTTCATGTACAATTTCTGTAAAGATACAAGGAAAGAATTATTAACAGTTTCTGTTTTGGGGCTAATTTCCACTTACTCTTTCAAACATCAATCTTCAATATAATTTTCAGCTTTGAAAACTTGGTCAACAATATTAGGGTTTTTATTTTTGCTTTTCTGTGTACAGTATTAAATTAGTTTGCATAGCTTCCTCATCAAACCTTACCTCTATAGAATTCTTGCCTATTTATTTTGTTAAAATATATCACCTTCAAGATGGTTTTATACTGTGTAAATAAATTTGGCTAAGCTAGAACCATATTTCCCAGAACATTCTTCCCCGTGTATTTCCATGTTAGAAATGGCCAAAGAAAAATGTGCAAGATTTAGAAGGAGGAAGTGAAATATCAGCTATAACCCTTTGAATATTTTTATGGTGCCAACAGATTCCAATTTGTCTTTCCTCTGTACATTTTCATGTCCAGCTAATATTACCCCTGATGAGAGAGAACTCCTCCCTGACTACCTCTGAGCTGGGACATGAGTTTTTTCTTTTTACTCTTCCTGGGGCTCAAGCCTGCTGGCCTTCATTCCACTATTGGCTAACTGAACACACTGTTGGCTCTCCTAGGTTTCGAGTTTGCCAACTGCAGATCTTAGGAAGGCTATCAACTCCTAATTGTGTGAGCCAATTTCTTATAATCGATCAGTATCTCTGTCTCTGTACACACACACACTCCCTTCCTGTTGGTTCTCCTTCTTTGAAGATACTTGACTAATACCATCCATATTCATCATTTTTTTAAACTGCACTTTGGTGCTTAAGAGTTGTAGCTCCAAGCGGTAGCGCGCTCGCCTGGCATGTGTGCGGCCCGGGTTTGATCCTCAGCACCACATACAAAGATGTTGTGTCTGCTGAAAACTAAAAATAAATACTAAAAAATTTAAAAAAAAGAGTTGCAGCTCACTTATAATAGGGCAGAAAGAGAGAATAAGATTTGATATCTATTCACCTATATTAGATGGCTTAAAAGAATTCCTTTTATCTGTCTACTATTTCCAAAATGGTTATTATTAAGATCTAAAGAGGGCAAGAAGATTCAGTGGGTTAGAGTACAAAGAAGGCAAAGAGAATATTATAGAAAGAAATAACCAACAATGTCAAATGCTATTAGAGGTGATATGGAGGAAATCTAATCATTTGATATTAATATGTTTTGGGTGATGAGGAAATAGAAACAGTTAAGAATTGTGGAGTAGTGCCAAAGAAGGCTGGATAGAGATGATATGGACAGATTATAATGGTCTAAACAGGTTAAGGTCACTTTAGGGGCAGCGTGGAGAATGCATCAAAGAATTTTACTACATTTCTAGCAGCTCTTTACCATGAATACCTTGTAGGCAACTTTATGTTTTTGATTTCTACTGCACAACATAGTTTCTGGCATATAATAGGAGTTCAATAAATATTTGTTGAAGTGTGTTGGATAAAGGAATTCAACAAGTCATATTTTTTTTAATCATGATCTCTCTCAAATCTATCCTATTCCCACTATCATTTTCACTCAAGGCTTTTACTACTTTATTATAATAAACTTGCCATCTAATTTTTCTCATTTCAATCAACTTGGGAAAGGCTACCAGATTAATATTCTTATGCTTTTGATTATTTCACTTACCTGCTTCCTAACATTCAAATCCACACCACTACCAACTGAAATAAATAGAAACTCTTTAGCCTTACTCCGAAGCCTGTTCACACTCTGGCCCATGACCCATATTTTAATCCTTATCTTCTATCACCTTCTTTATAACTTAGCATCATTAGCTTCATATAGCATTTAAACCTGTGATCTCCTAGTCTAATGCAATGATTATCTCTGTGAAAAAAGACAAAATTCAGTAACTAAAATTAGTTTTGAAATAACAGAGGTTTTTAATTACATGTCTTAAACACCATGAAGGAAATTATATTGACCTCCCTGATACTTTTTCTTCTTCATTTTTTTTTCTTTTTCAAGTAAACATTCTGTTTATATTGTAGTCACCTCTTGGCCTATTAACTCCATCTTTTCCTCAAAATTCAAGGAAAAATAGAAACTCAAAAATACCATTTTTCCTACTAAATATCATGTTTTAAAATCATCAATGTGAAATGAATTGTTTTAAATGTTCATTTACCTGCCTATCCTATTGAGAATCATTCTACTGAAATTTGATTTCATAGGTGAGGATTAGCTTCTGAGAAGCTGAAGTAACAATATTTTAGGTCATAGTTAGGACTATGTTATATAGGCTTTCTGACATATAGTTGGTAAACCTCAACTTAAGGAAAAAAATGAGTAGCCATTTTATGCCTGGCACTATATGATTCTTCTTAAAATTCATTTTCTCTGCCATCTACTTCTCACAGAGGCTGAAGTTGCTTTCATATATTTCTCTCCTAAACTTTCCAGAAGGAAGTCCATACAAGCATCTTAATTCCACTTGCTTCTCTTATCCTCATCATCTCTCTTCCACATTTCGCATTTCAAAATTAATATGGTTTGTCTTTTCTGAAACTCATAATCAAATTTGGTGCCCAGTATAACAGTGTTGAGAGGTGGTGGGGTCTTTAAAAGGTTAAGATGAATTCATGCAGTTTTTTCTTGGGACTGGATTAGTTACCATGAGAGCAGATTTTATTAAGTAAGGCTGCCCCTTGAACATGAGGCCCTCCTCAGATGTAGCTGTTGGATCTTGACCTCTGTCCTCCAGAACCGGGCACTAAATAAACTTCTTTCCTCTGCTTGTTACCTAGTCTCAGGAATTCTGTTTATAGCAACAGAACATGGACTAAGATAATAGTTCAGCAGAGTAACCTCTTCTTAAAGGGAAAGTAAAAGAAACAGTGGGCCATGCTATATTTATCTTTAGGGGACAGTATGAAGGGTACCATTGTTAGGGAGTATAGCTGTCTTGAATTATAGTACTTATATATATACATTTCTTTATTTTCTACTAAACAGGGCAAGAATCATGCCATTTTAATTTGTTATCTCCAGAGCTTGCCTACTCAAACTGTAGTCTCCAGACTAGCTGAGTATGTATCACTTTGAGAGCTTTTTAGAAATTCAGAGTCATGGGTCCCACTCCAGATCTACTGAATAAGAATCAATGTTTTAACAAGATTCCCAAAGGCATCTGTATTAATTTGTATGCTTATTAAAATTTAGCCTTATTTATAATCAAGTGACTTGGCATTTTATATTAAATTAACCAAAAGCAGTCTTTTTTTATTGTTGGTCGTTCAAAACATCACATCTTTCTTGATATATCATATTTCACAATTTGATTCAAAAGGGTTATGAACTTCCATTTTTACCCATATACAGATTGCTGAATCACATCAGTTACATTTCCATTGATTTACACATTGCCATTCCCAAAAGCAGTCTTAATACTGAGTTTTGAAATGCTCTGGATTTTCATATTTTAATTCATTTATAGAATGCTCTTATAAATTATAACTTTTTGAGGCATTATATTTTGAATAATATTACCTTCTGCATTACAGGTATAAGTCATCAAAGATCCAGCACAGATGTCTTTTTCAGGTCCATTCCTTCTGTCAATTACTTGTCTGTAGTACATGAGTCAAGTAATTAAGAAAGAAAAATTTAAGGTTAGATGCAAGTTGTGGATATAATACTAAAAAATTTAATATAAGTAAGGTATTAAACATTTCAAATTTCTACATGTTTTAAAGTGTAATTAAAAATATCTCTGGAACCTTTCAACAACATAATAATTTTAAAATAAATATTTTAAAAACATGGAAAGTCACTTTCAAGTATTCCACCATTAAATATTTTATAAGACATTTTGAAGAGTGCTGAAATTAAATTTTAATGTACAGATAAATATATTATATATATATAGTTTTTAAGAGAAATAATCATGGAAACAAAATGTGATGCTCTGAACTCCTAGGTATTATGAAATTAAAGAGAGTGGTAAAAGTTTCATACTTTCCTGATTTCAAAAATAATCCATTATTAGTGTAGAAAACCCAAAATTAACATAATAACAATCTAATTATCCGGAGTTCTCTCCTAATTGCTATGGATTTAAAAAATAAACCTGAGATAATTCTGCCTTATAAAATTTTGTCATCAACTTTCACTTATATAACGATATTTTTGTTTTTAAATGTATAAAATTATAATACATTAAAATTCACTTTAAAGGTGTATAATTCTTTGAATTTTAATAGATGCTTGGATTCATACTATTAACAGAACAATCAAAACAGGAAACGGTTTCAATATGTCCAAAAAACCTCCCTCATACTTTGTAGTCACACTTTCCCTATCCATAACCCCGACAACTACTTACCTCTTCTCTATTAGTTTTGAGTTCAAGAATGTCATATGATTTGAATCATACAAAATGTGACCATTTTCATTTTCTCTTATTCAGTATAAGGCCCTTGATATCATCCAAGTTGTATAAATCAATAATTCATTACTTTTTATTGCTAAGGAGTATTCCATTATATAGCTATATACCAGTTTAGTTATTGAAGGATATTTATTTTCTCAGGTTATGAAAATTATAAATAAAACTACTATAAACATTCATGTACAGGTTCTTGTGTGAATGTAAGTATTAATTTCTCAAGTATAAATACTCAAGACTGCTAGATTATAAGGCAAATATATGCTTAACTTTATAAGAAACTGCTAAACTGTTTCCTAGAATAGCTGTATCATTTTGTATTCTCACCAACAATGTGTATGAAAGTTCATGTTACTTTGCATCCTTCCCAGTGTTTGAAATTGTCAGTATTTGTGCGTATGTATATATACTGATAAATATATAATTATTTTCACACATACTGCAGATATTCTGATAGGTATGCAGGAGTATCTCCTAATGGTTTTAATTTTGCATATATCCTAACTGAAGTGTCTGTTCAGGACTTTTGCCCATTTTAATTGGGATATTTTTCTTACTGTTGAGCTTTGAAAGTTCTTTATATGTTCTGGATACACATCCTTCATTGGATATGTGATTTGTACGTATTTTCTCCCAGCATGTAGCTTATTATTTTTCTAACTGTGGCTTTTGAAGAATAAAAGGTGTTAAAGTACAGTTTATCAATTAAAAAAAATGGGTAGTACTTTTAGCAGCTGGTCTGAGAATGTTTTGCTGAATCCTGGATTACAAATATTTCTTTCTATATGTTTTTTTTAAGTTGATAGTTTCAATTTTACATTTAGACCAATTATCTATTTTTTATTTTTGAGAATATGTTATGAGGTTTAGGTTGCAATTCTTTCTTTTTTTGCACAAAGATGTCCACCTGTTCCAATACCATTTGTTGAAAAAATAGTTTTTTAAAAAATTGTGTTTTTACATTTGTCAAAAATCAGTTGGAGGGGCTGGGGTGGTGGCTTAGTGGTAGAGTGGTCGCCTAGCATGCATGAGGCACTGGGTTTAATCCTCAGTACCACATAAAAACAAACTAATGTATCCACCTAAACTAAAGATACATACATAAATAAATATTTTTAAAAAATCTGTTGGAGATATTATATGAGTCTATTTCTGAATTCTGTGTTCTTTTTCATTAATATGTATCTATCTTCTGCTAATACCACAATTTCTTGATCAGTGTAGCTTTAGATGGGAGAGGCAGTCCAAATCCAGTTCACACTTATTTTGTAAATAAAGTTTTATCAGAACCCATGAATACCCATTCATATTTTTTTGATTTATTTATTTTTATGTGGTGCTGAGGATCAAACCCAGGGCTGCGCATATGCTAGGTGATCGCTCTACAGCTGAGCCACAACCCCAGCCCCACCATTCATTTATGTATTATCTCTGGCTTCTTTCTCAGTGTAATGTCAGTTAAGTAGTTGCAACAGAGATCCTATGGCCTACAAAACCTATATGGTTCTTTACAGAAAATGTCTTCCAACACCTATTTTAGAAAAAGTCCTAAGATTGTGTGTGATTCTTCCAACATCATTTCCTTTTTTCAATAATTTTTACTTATTATAGTTCCATTGCCTTTCCAAATAAATTTTAAAATCAGCTCACCTGCATATAAAAAAATAAAACAAAAAAATCCTTCTGGAATTTCAGTTAAGATTGCATGGAATTTTTATTTTTACCTTATTAGTTTTAATTAAATATCATTTTTTTTATTAGAGCTTTATGGATTGTATATATTGTGTTCATCCTGACAGAAATCGATTTCAGTTGATGTTCCCCTAGTTTTCCTTCCCTCTCCCCTTCCTCTACTAGACTTCCTTTCACTCATCTATTAATTTGTATTTGATTGGTTCCTTATGTAATCTTATCCTTCCCTCCCGTTTCCTTTATTTTACTCCAGCTTCCATATGAGAGAGAAAATTCAACTTTTGAGTTTTTGACTTTGGCCAATTTCACTTAGAATGATATTCTCCGTTTCCATCCATTTACTGGAAAATGTCATAATTTCATTCTTTTTAATGGCTGAGTAAAACCCCATTGTATATATGTGCATTGATCAATCATAAGACAGTTGACATCTTTACTATGTTGAGTTTTTCCATCTCTAAACATGATATATAGTTTTCAGCATAGTGTTCTATACATGTTTGGTTAGAGTTATACTTTAGTATTTAGTTTATTTTAGAACTAGTGTAATTAAAAGAACTTTTTAGTTTTCAATTGTATATTATTGATATATATAGATACATTATTCTGCATCAAACTTATGTCTTATGACTTTGCCAAATTCACTGACTGTAGTTTTTTGTAGATTCCTTGGGATATTCTATGAGAAAAGCATTTTGTCTGCAAATTGGTATCATTTCACTTCTTTTTTGAGATGTGTTTTTCATCTCTTTTTCTTGCCTTACTGCATTGGCTAAGACTTAGACTTGGTCTTATGGTGAAAATGGACATCTTTACAAGTTTCCAATATTAGAGAAAAACTGAATGCTTTCCTCCTATAAAGTAATCAAGAATGATTTTAGCTGTAAGTTTTTTCTTTTTTGTAGATCCTCCATAAAAAGGTTGAAAAATTTCCCTTCTATTCCGAGTTTCTTTTTAAAACCATATCTGGGTATTACATTTTGTCATGCATTAGTTGATTTTTCTTTTTAAAATTATGAATACAGTGGATTATTTGTATTTTTGAATATTTAATAGGCCTTGTATTCCTAAGATAAACACCAATTGATTGTGGTATATTATTGTTTTTATATACAAATTGAATATTCCTTATCTAAAAGACTTGGGGCTGGGGCTGTAACTCAGTAGTAGAGTGATTGCCTAGCATGTGTGAGGCACTGGGTTCAATTCGCAGCACTGCATATAAATAAATAAAATAAAGGTCCATGGGCAACTAAACATATAACAAACAAACAAATCAATAAATAAACATGTAAAGACTCAGGAATTGAAGTTTTTGGATTTTTAAAAAAGAGATATCTTGGGGACTGGACCCAAGGCTAAACACAGAATTCATTTATGGTTCATATACACCTCATACATCTAGAACAAAGGTAATTTTATACAATATTTTGAGTGTTCCTGCATTTTTACCATGACTTGCCAACATGAGGTCAGGCATGGAATCTTACACTTGTGGCATCATGTTGACACTCAAAAATGTTTTGTGTTTTGGAGTGTATGGATTTCAGATTTTTGGATTAGGAATGTTCAACCTTTATTACTGAGTTAAATTTCTTAATCTTCTGGGAATATTCTTGCTTCTATATTTTTGAGAGATAGCAGTCTAGTTTTCTATTTTTGTATTCTATTGTTTGGGTGATGGTAATGTCAAAACAGGGTGGGATATATGGCCTTGCCTTATATTTCTTAGAGAAAACAATACCTTCCATTTCTTTCAACTATTGGGAAGAATTAACCAGTGAAATCATCTGGACTTGAAAATATCTTTTTCTGAAGTGTTTTTTGTTTTGTTTTATTTTTGTGGTGCTGGGGATTGAATCTAGTCCTCTTCCATGCTAGACAAGTGCTCTACCACTGACCTACATCCCCAGCCCCATAAATTCCTTTAACGGACATAGAAGTATTTAGATTATCTATTTAATTTTTTGCAAGTTTGTGGTTTTCAAGGAATCACTTCATCCTAACTTCATCAAATTTATACACAGAGTACTTCATGACATTATTCATCTATTTAACATTTATGAGGTCTATTATGACATTATTCATCTATTTAACATTTATGAGGTCTATTATTTCTTCCTGTCAGTCTAATTTTATTACTTTCACTGATCTTTTCAAGTAAACTTTTGCTTTCAATGATTTTTTCTATTTTCAAATTCAATTATGTATGTTCTTATCATTTTCTTTTGTTTAAGTTTATTTTCCATTTCTTTTTCTAGTTTCTCATGGTAGAAGCATTGATTGAGACACAGCTCTTTTTCTAACATTTGCATTTAATAAAAATTTCCATTAAACATTATTTAAGGTGCATCCCACAAATTTTGATGTTATGATTTTTGTTGTTGTTGTTGTTTTTAATATTTTCTGATTTCCTTAAGACTCTCTCTTTGACCTATGGGTTATTAAGAAGTATGTTTTGAAATTTATAAGTTTTCAGAGATTTTTCTG